TTCTGCATTACATTTCTTTTCCATCCAACAAGCCATGAAGTTAAAATTAACTGTATATTGCCCCAATTTGTACATATGTCTCACTATAAATGAGAAATCAAGTCAAATGCATTGCAATGTGGGATACAGTAGGCGTGCATGTTTGCATGATGCACACTTGGGCGAGTGCAGCAAGTAATCCACATATTCCATACTTATAGACATTTGCATAATACACATGCTGCTAAACTAGCAGTAGTATAGTTGTATGTCATTCCGAACCATTATCGGTCCTCATATAATCATTTAACACGTCCGATAACATGTTGCTACCCGGTGAGGAAAGACAAGTCACCGTGAAAATCTGGATCAGATCTCTGGAGAGTGTTTATCCCTCCCATCCAATTAATCACACACCTCATCCCCCCGTCCCTGCTAGTGTTCAGTACTGGGGTGGTGGGTCTGTGAGAGAGGGCCTGCGGTTATAGAAGACAAACACATGCAATGTTACATTAATCATACTGTACGCAGGAAGATCCAATTATGAGGGAGGGAGAGAATAAAGGGGTGGGTTTTCACAGAGGACGACCCAATGGGAAGACAAATACCCTCCGTAACCACAGACAAAATGGAAACAGAGATACATAACATAGTATAAGTAATAACAGAAAAAGGATAGTGTCAATAAGTAACAAACAAAGAACAGTAAATGCAACCAAAAATACACAGAACGAAAATATTCAGAGAATTATAGCTGGTAGTATAGGATGAGGAGAGTGTCTAAAGAACATGTTATGACTGACAGTATTGGGTAAACAAGTAGGTTTTGAGTTGTGATTTAAATACAGAGAGTGAGGTTATTGTCCTTAGTGCCAGTGGTATAGAGTTCCATAGTTTAGGTGCAATTACGGAAAATGACCTGCCACCCATTGAAGATAGATGAAATCTAGGTACAGTAAGAAGTTCCCACCCTGCAGATCGAAGTGATCGAGGTGGAACGTAAGGAGACAGTACATCAGAGAGATAAGGAGGAGCAAGGCCATTGAGTCATTTAAAAGTATACACTTGAATGGGTTCTCCTGGTCACGTGACCCTGCTCCAACCTTGGAATGAACAGAGAGAGCGAGAGAGAGAGAGGAGAAAGGAAAAGAAAAATGGAAGTAAATATGGAAATGGAAAGGGAAGGAAAAGAAAGAGGAAGTGGAAATTAATGTGAAAAAGAAACAAGAAGTATAAAGGAAAAGGATATGGAAATATTAATATTTATTAATAAATATAGCATAAATATATGCAAAACATAAGTGTAGAGGAAAGAAAAGAGAAAATAGAAATAAAGTAGAAATGGAAAGGAAGAGTGAAATATGAACATAAAGAGGAAGAGGAAATGGAAATGAATGGGGAAAAGTAAAGGAAAAAGCATATATATATATATATATATATATATATATATATATAATTTATTCTTTTTTATTATTTTGTTGTTTTAATACATTTTTAATACAATACATTGGAAATGGAAAAGAAAATAATTACGATGTTAGAAATAAACTGGAAATGGAAAGGGAAATATGAACAGAATTTATTGGAAATTGGAAATTAATTTGACAAGGAGAAGAAAACAAACTGG